GCTTATCTTTCTCGTCCGCGACCTCACTTCACCAATTTCGTAATTATTAAACGAACCTAATTCTTTAACAGGAACAGTATAACCCTTTCGTAAATGTTAATGGATTCCGCATTTTTGTTAACAAAAATCGGAGAGCAAAACAAACATTCCTCTGGGACAAATACTTAGAGCATTCTGCATAAAGCAATTATTACAAATACAATATTTCGATAATGGGAGAATGAAAATATTATCTCGCACTTAAGCTAGCAATTGCACATGTAGCGATCGGCCCCCTTTGAGAATATACTCGTAACTTTATTAAGAGCATATTTACGAACACACAGGTATAACGTACCATTTTTACAATTTTCTCGATTCTCACTTGTTATTATACTATTATTTTTCTATGCTAATCTTGAAAATGATGAATCTCTGAATCGTTCTGTCTTTTTAGCATCTAATACTCTTTATGACATTTCTTCTGTAATTTATTCCTTTGCTTATTTTATATTTGTTACTAAAATAGACAATTGCATTTTTTATTGTCGTTTATTCAGTTCATTCTGATGGAATTATTTCAAAGATTACTTATTTGCGATTCCGAAAAGAGATTTTGTGCCCGTTGCATTCAGAGGCATGAGTGTTCCTTACATCATCAGATATTTATTAATACACTTACCGGAGAAGGTGGCTTAGAGCATCGACTGATGTCACTGCAGTGCCTTTCATCGGGGAGTCCTAGAGTTCGTGTCCCGACGATGTCAGAATTTTCAACACTAACTAAATAGCTAGTTCGTATTCAACCGTTGTCTGGAGGAGAATTCTAACGGCCGGTTGCTCTGATCGGTAGTTTTTCCCTGATCTAAACCAAGTGAATGCCGCAGCAGAACTCTAACGAACTGGCCTCTAACCGCGCGCGATCTTTCGTTCCTCTTCCTTGTCCTATCCTCACCCCCTTACTTAAATACACACTCACACATACACACATACTTGCACTATACTTCCGGGAGAGCAGTCGGGAGCTTTAGAGATTGTCCAGGCATAAAGACAAGAGCTAAGTGTACGTGTTAACACAGTTTAATCGCACTGAAATACGTCTCCCTCAGCGCCGCGTGGTACGGCGCTGCGCCAGAAAATCGCTGGAAATTTCCTCGTGAGCTGCCCGGGCACTCGTACGTCACGGGAGTCACGTGGCGCCCTGGCCACGGGGCGTGCGCCCGATGGGCACGCGCGGAACCTCCCTGGACGTCCAGCGCGTCCCCTCGCGACAGTCTCCTGTCTTCTGGCGTCCTTCTTCTGGCGCCCTGAGGCGTTGCGTAGCGCACCGAGCCCCACATGCACCAACGGTCGCGCCTGAAAACAAAAGTCGGCGAACGAGCGTAATATGTTAAAATGGGGGACTGATGATTGTCTCACTAATTTATTATTATTATTGCTTACAGTAGTATCCTTCTCATATTATATTAAAACAATTCATTTTTAAATTTCTTATGTTTTTGTTTGGATAAACCGCTCCGTTTTTTCTTTGATTAATTCTTGTTCTGTTTTACAATGTTATTCTAAATTTTATATATGAAGATAAAATAAATATTTGTAATTTAGAAATATCTGTATTAGAGTACATCTGAAGATTGGGTCGCGAAACGTAGTGATTTTTTGTCAAGAAGACATAAGTACATTAAAAATGAATTGTTTGATTGTCTGTAATATGAGAAGGATACTACTGTATGCGACAATATTAAACGTAAAATGTTTTTGGGAGTGTAGGCTTACGCGGCCAGAGTCAATACCAACTGAGTTGTCCGGGTCTCCTATGTGCAGTTGCCAACGTTTCGGCCGCCATTCTGTGACCTCCATCAGGGCGAAATACTCGGGAGGACACGCAACAGGAATTTTGCCCTGAGGAAGGTCGCAGAATGGCGACTGAAACATTGGCACATGTACCTGAGACGCGGCGTCTCACGACCAGTCAAGTAGATACAGTAATATGTTTTGTCATCACAGCTTTATTTGCGATTTATTCTTAATATTGAATAATAACCAAGGTGAGTTTCAATTATTTCACATCACGAAAACAGTCGACATAAAAATATAATCTTGAACAATGTTTATAAATAACCAAATATAGATTTTATATTATTTTATTTAAACTAATATAATCTACTAGTTGACAGTTTTTCTTTCTTAAAATTGACAAATTAATGGAATATGCAAAACGCCTTTCGGGAGCCATTTCAATCCACTGTGCGCCGACCACTGTCCTGAGATGGACACGTGCCACGGCATCATGACTCCTCGAGAGGGCAGAGGAAGTGAGCTTACTTGACACACAAGGTCACATTCCGGGAAATAGAAGACACAGCAGTTGCGAAACAAAAAGAAGTCTTCTTGGATCACAGGTGAGTACTTTTACAAAAGCATGTTCAAACTATATTTAAATGTTCATATATTTTGATACTTTCTGTATTTTGTCGTAATAAATTAATTCTGCATACTAAATATACTTGTATCACGTTGTTGGACTTTGATTTTCTGTTTGATGTTTATATTAATGTATTACTCATGTTTTTATTCTCATGAGGAATGAGACGATTACATTGAGAATGTGTAAAAACCGTGAGAGTGAAATTCTTTGTATTTGCGGAAATTGTAACAAAATATCATTGCAAAAATACGTTATTGATGATAGAGATTTTTTCTGAAATGAAATATTTTCTAAAATGTTAAATTTTGAATTTACGTCATGTATTAAAAAATCAATTTACCAGTATAGTAAGTTAATGGCGTTTATAAAAAAAGTTTATAACAACAGTTCAAAATTTGCTCCGTACATTTTTGCGGAGAGAGCAAAGAACGCTTAAACAATTATAGAAATAAAAGTTGCTAAACTAAAAACTAACATTTAATGTAACAATCCATAACGAAAGAGGTGGAAATAATTATCAGAAGCTGAAATATTTGGATAGAGAAGAATGGAGTTTGATGAAACCTGTCGCAGAGCAGAATGCTCAATGAATAGAAGAAGAAGAAGATGATGTTAAAGAAGAAGATGAAGAAGAAGAAAATGATGAAGAAGAAGAAAATGATGAAGAAGAAGAAAATGATGAAGAAGAAGATGATGATGATGATGATGATGAAGATGATAAAGAAGAAGAAGAGAAAGAAGTTGATAATTATGATGATAACGGTGAGGACAATGACGAATGCCCGCCAATAATTATTATTTTATTTATAAATTTGTTTTTGTGAAATTATCACGCCTTATCAAATCTGCATCTGCAGAGAGCGGGGGCGGCGTGTGTAGAGTCTGCAGGAGCGGTGACTTCGGTGACTGCGTCGGAGGCGGAGGGCGGCGGCGGCGGCGGCGGTCTCGCGCGGCCGGGCCTGGCGGAACTCCCCCTGGCCGGGCATCCGGCGGCGGGGGCGGGGGCGGCGGCGTTGGTGGAGGCAGCGCGCGCTGGCCCACAGACCCAGTGCTACCACCGCCGCCTCCGCTGGCGCTCCGCACTTCCCGGCACGCGGTTGAGCCGCACCCCCCGCCGCGTCGCCACCGCAGCCTCCGCGACGACGTCGACCTCCGACGCCGCCGTCGCGACAGCGACAGTTGACGCTGGGCCGCCACGGGGAACGCGCGTCCTCTGCCGCGCTCTCTCGCCTTGCGTGCACTCGCCACCGTGGAGACGTTTGCAGACACCAGCCCTCGAATTGCAAGCGTCGTGGAATGCAATCCCGTTTTTATGATTCTGTGACTGTGGTGGTGAAATGCAACATGTGAGAAACGTTCCGTTCATCTGCCGCGATGTTAAAAAAATGTGTTTATGATGTATAGTTTGTGAACTGGAGTTGGCGAACGTCATCAACTTGTATTTGGAGTTTCATCGCAATTTCCCCAAGTACAGTCGTAGTGATATTATTTAACCGGGAATTTAACGTGCAGCTGGAACAATCGCGGAGAACGCGTGTATCGAAGTCAACAGCTTCGTTCTCGATCGTCCGCCTTCCGCCTCGTGTCTCGTCCTCCGTTCCGCTGCTCGCCAAGTAAAGCAGTGGCGAGAGGCTTCTC